CCCCAAAACCCCAAAACCCCAAAACCCCAAAACCCCAATTGCCTGTATATTTAAATTTATGGACCAAAAGCAAATAACAAGATATAATATTTAAATACTATTGTTCTAGCCAATAATTAAAAATCATCAATAATCAATATCGTTTATACTTTACTAAAGCGTAGATTAAGGAGTCTGTTTTTCAGAGGGTTTCCTTTTTAATTTTTTAACCTTCTTTTTTTTCTTAGGCGCTACAAAATTTTATGCATTAATTGGCATAGGCTTAAAAGAAACATCAAATCCAGTAATTCTCTGAGAGTTGAGATTTTAAATAACTTATTCCTCCATAGCAGCATTATACTCTATTTTTTCTCTGATTGATAATTAATCTAGATCTTCACTTTCATCTGTGATTTTTATTACCTGTTATGTTGAATACTCTCTTGGTTAGACCATTTATAATTTTGAATTTATTAGATTATTTATTGAGCCGACTTAAAATTCTTCAAGTTCTGGTATAGACTAATGTAATTAAGAAGAGTCAGAGAAAAAGTTTTAGCTTGATTCCAGGTCATTTTCTATAAATTGATCTTATTATTAATATTCTAAGTATATTCTCTTTTGAAATGATTCTTTAGAATGAGTTTGCTTTTAGTTTGTAAAATCTTATCTTTTAACTTCTTCATCTAACTTTTTTAGGGATAGGTTTGAGAAATTTTATATTTACAAATTTTTAATCGAATGATAATTATTTATTTTTAAATTAGATGAAGCATCAAGTAATTATTAGTTCTTATCATCATGATTATTTTCAGGTAAAAGATTTCCATCTTGATTTAAAAATGTTTGCTCTGGAGCATCTTCAAACCAGTTATAATCTATCTTTTAATTTGTTGAAGGATTTGTAACTTTCCTTGATTCATTTTCCCATATACTTATCTCACTAATATAAGATTAATCAAGGGAATTATCTGCTTTCATGTTTTAATTTGCTGAGATATTTAGCTTTTCTAATTAAAAGTTATGCAATATGATATCTGAATTACTGTAATAAGGTTATTACTCTATTAAGTGTGTATTTTGTTATTTCAATTATTCGTTATTAAATTAGTCATCATCTCTATCTAAATTTATCATATCTTCTGAGCTATTATCACTATCATTTAAGAGTTTTGATATCTTGAGAAGTTATTCTTGCCTTGATGATTAGCTCTTCACTTTTTTATTCACAAATCTTTATCTTTTTGATTTATCTTCTTTTATTTCAAACCATGAGGTATTATTATTATTATTTTTGTGTGCAATTAGCTATTATTGATTTTGTCCAAGAATTCTGCCTTATTCTTCCTTCTGTGAATAATGAGTAAATTAGCACTATTGCTTGTTTCCTAAATATAATAACTAGTTAAGACCATGTTAATTACTTGGCTTAATTTTATTGCTAGGAGTTTAATGCATGCTATATAATGTTTCTTACTCGTTGATACTATCCATACTAAAAAGTGAAAGACTTGAGTTATCTCATTGCAATGGCATCCTATTGGAAAATCTTTTAACTCTTATATCAGATATAGATTAGGACTAATAATCTAGACTAAATTCTTTGAGGTTTGAGGTGATATTTTTGTTAGACTTCAACTAAGATGTACTCAGCAATGCAGGTTATTGATTGTTTCTCCAGTGGCGCAATTCTTTTAATTCCTCTTGGATTTCCTCAAGTTTGGGTAGAATTACCTTGCTATTAAAATTTTATAGATCTTTTATATTAGCACTATCCTTCTATTGCTGCTTCAATATGTTTTATTATCCTATATTCAAGACATAGATTTCTCATTTAATTTCAATGTGATTCAATTTTGTAGCAGTATGAAGAACCTATTCTTATAACTATAAAATCATTCTTTTAAAGTGGATACTTCTAACAAATTTCATGAATTTACTAGTTTATCTATACTTGCCTAACTCTTGCTAACTAGTTATTACTTTCTTAGATAATTTCTCAAGCAAATCAAGGCATTCCTAATTTGCATTATTTTTACTTAATTCATTATAATCAAAATTCATTTCTCCATCAGTCAATGCTGATTTTATCATCACTATTTGTTGCTCTAAGTCTATCAGTAATTAATCAACATCTGATATCGTTTATTCATTGTGCTTATACTTAGAATAGTTACGAATTAACTTATTTGAGATCTGCACCAAAGGACTAATCATCAAAGTCACAACATCTGCCATGAATTTTTTAAATCAATATATTAAAACAATAATTCAATTATCAATATCAATTCAATAAATAATTTTATCAAGCGGGGTTTTGGGGTTTTGGGGTTTTGGGG